TCTTATAATTTATCGTTATTAATTAAATAGTTTCAATCAATGAACTCGCTCGATTGATCTAGTACAATTGCTATTCAAGTATGAATTCAACATAATATATTAAAATACAAATATACTAAATTTGTCGATTAAGTATAACTATTAACCATATGGTTTGGAAAACTAACGAAAAGCTATGTATACTATGCAATTTTATTCACCACTTACAATCAAAAGATTTAATTCTTTTCATTTTTTTTTTTTCTATTTTGCAAAGGTTTTAACTTTTAAAGTTGAATTTAAATTCCAACTAGTTCACCACATTATTGTTAAAGTTTTGAAAGCACTCTCAGAAAGGTCACATTTATTTATTGTATATATCGTAATCCAAACAGTAGCCACAAGTTATTCTATGCTTTCATTTTCTTTTTAATCGTTAACGACAAATAAACTCACTTCACCTGACCATTTGAGTCCATTAACCGAATGAATCAATAAGGCGAATGACCAAAAAAAATTTAAAAAATGCTTAAAATTAAAAAAGTTAATAACTTAAAAAATATTTATGAAAATTCAATGTGTGCATAAAAATAAAAATCTAGTTACGCTTTAAAAATAAAATAATAAAATATATATGTAAAATCTAATTAGTTTTTTGATAAAAATACATCCAGGGTTGATTGGATTTTCTTTTCTTCGACCAACTTAATAATCATATCTGCATAGGATTTATGTGGCTTGATACGTCAAAATCACCACTTTGCTGAATCCCTCTATGTAGAATTTGTTTAGTTGATGGTGGTTTCTCATAAGGTTCCTCTTCCTGACTACCACCAGCCACATTTTGTTTTGGCCATTTTGACTGTATTTCACCACATATTTCTTCCTCGGTTCCGAGTTCAGTATTTTAGACTTCTTTTTCAATATCAATCCTTACTGGTACCAACTTATAACAGCATTTATAATACATTAGTTCAATGTACCTGTATGTACATATTTTCTTAATCTATCTAATTTTCAAATGACCCTATTAACCGGAGTGTGAGTCGAATAGACGAATTTTTGTCTATGTGTACTCGTATATGTATATGTATGTGTTTATGTGCAAATTTGGACCAGCCATTTTGAGTCTATTAGGCGAATGAGTCAATTAACTGTGAGTCCAATAAGCGGCGACCATTGTACTAATAATGTATGGATTTTCATCAAAACTAAATTAAACCACACTCGCAATAAATTGTTTACGTCTTACGTATAGTGCCGGCTAATAATTTTTGTAAACATTGAAAATGGGCTTAGTTTTTCTATTTCGTTTTAAATTTACTCATACATCAATGTTGATGAGATGCAGGAGCAACAAATTGAACATGATTGTGGAATCGATAACATATTACAACATTTTCACGACCATTAAATAAAAAACCTTAAAAGCCTTCATCTACGCGTAACACATTAGAAATATTATATATTGGGCCATGACCTCGGATCTCTTTATAATAATGTCGCACCACTTAAACACAATATGCTTTTAGTACAGTCGCGTGAGAAAAATCAAAACACGAATTTAACCGATCCATAATTAATATCTAACTACGCGACGTTCCGCTTCTGTAATGATCGCGGTAAAATATTTCGCAGTTCTATAAATTATTCGTTTGATGTCTGAGACGCAGTGTTTATAAAACACTGCGAACACGGGATGGCATTCGCGCGTCACACCACCCGCTTTATTTATTTATATCGTGTTAGGCTGCAGTACACTGGAATACAATAGATTAACATAAAATAGAACTCACAGTAAACATTTAAAAATAGATTAAATAAAACAAATAAAATAAAAATAAAAATAAAATAAAATTATAATATTATAGGTATACACGAACTATAGTGTAGTGAATAGACCGTTTATTGGTAACTTCTTTAGTATTTTGAGTTTCCGCTATCAGAATTTGTCATATACCATTCGACTAGTACTTAGCCATGTCTATTGCTTTCTGGTTTGCCACCGCGAGGTCTTTTTCGCTGCAAGTAATTGGGCATTCACGATATATCAGTAGGTGATCCATTGTCTTTTCCTCGCCGCACTCACATAGCGCCGGTGAGTCTTTTAGATAGCCCCATTTTTTTCAGATTGGCTTTACAGCGTTCTACTTTTGTTCATAGTCGGTTTAGGCTTCTCCATACTATCCAACTATTGTTGTATCCGGGAGCGAGGTTTTCCGTTGGCATTATCCATGCTGTTTCGTCTCCCATTTTTTCCGTCCATCTCTCGACTCTCTCATCTTTGGGGTTACTCGTAATCCATTTTGTTCTTTTCATAAAACTATTTCTTGACTTAAGTCGGCATTTGCCTTCTTGCAGTCCATGCATTATGTACTGGTCATCATTCGTCACTTTTGTTTGCTCCCGTTCGGCTTATACGGACCGTCAAATTTCAGGTGGGGCTATTCCAAATAGGGTATACAGTTTATTTACTGGTATATTTGTTAAGCATCCTGTGATTAGTCGACATGTCTCATTCAGAGCTATGCCTATTTGTTTTGTGTGTGCAGGGCTTCCCCACACTTGACTTGCTAAATCGCAGGTTGAGAAACAAAGTGTTAAAGCTGTAACTCTCAATGCATGCGATTTGGCACCCCACGCGGATCCGACCAGCTTACGCAATAACCTATTCCTCGTATTGATTTTCATTTTCGTTTTTTCACAGTGTACTTTGTATGTTGGTGATCTATCTAGAACTACGCCTAGGTTAGAAAATCTAACAAAATTGAAAATACGATACGGTTTTATGCGAAAACGTATGATAATTATACGCACAAGGAATAAATTATTAATATTGTAATTAAAATGATATAATTTTTGGTGCCAACTCCTCGTGAACCATACAAACTTTTTCATAATATTTTTTCACATACTAACACGTATACAAAACAACGTGGCGATGTGCCAAAACACGTCCACAAAAATCATTAGACCAATCAATAAAAGGTCAAAATTTACGTATAAATCGTTCATAGGTTTTCAAAACATCCATATATACATACATTATTAATTCTTCATATTATATTTGCGATTCTATTCGATTTGATGTGTCACAAAGTTCAGAATTCGTCACGTGAACAGAATATTATGTAAAGACACACCCGGTGATTTTCCTTGTGTGCCTTTCGACTTGTACATTTTATCATGCTAAATAATATACGAGTTCAAGTCTCAATAATCGCCGTGGTCAGTGTAAACGGATTATAATAAGCGAGTGGTTTTTTCGTGTACGATCGTCGTTTCAATTAATACACATAATTCGAATACGAGTACAGGAAATATTATAGATGTGATTCAATGATGAAATGTGTTACTATCAGCGAATATACTCACAGTAAAAAGAAAGCAATATTAAAAGATTCTCAGATTTCCAAAATTAAAATACGCGATTAATGTCGATACACTTCTGTCTATAATAACCCATTAAAAATGATTGGAATGAAAGAGTTTACACAATTCGCTCACTCATAACTTTTAATATTTTAACAATATACCAAATTTCTTCTCACGCATATTTTACACCGATCTTAATTCGATATATTCATTACACAAAATTATCACTATTATCACCTTTACACGTTATTATTTGTTCATCTTGCCTTATATAATATAACTTTAAATAAATTATTCTTAACAAAAATACAAATAAAACAAACATAAAATTAAACGAATTTATGCTATTCAATCATAAGACCTAAAAAAAATCATATACAGTTAATTATTCTGGTTACAAAACGAGACATTTTAAGTAAATAAAGGATATTTTCACTATTTCATACATTACTCAACTAAACCCATATTTAGTTGATATAAGAAAAACATTTTTATAGTATAAATTATCTATAAGAATCATCATTAGTAAATCTGCATCAAAAAACTTAAAAACTAAACTATACTTACTTTGACCAGAAATATGATAAATTTTTATTCTTAAAATCGAAATTCATACACTTAATATAGTTTATTATACACTGTTTATCAAGATAACATACCCAATAATATTCCTGTATACCTATACTATCCTCGATAATAGTTTATTTTAAAATAAATTAAATTTTATGACTTTACTCTTATTATAAACCTTGAGAAACACGAAGAATTTTATGAGTTTAAAATTTTTTTTCTCCTCTCTTTTTTATAAATGTTAATCTTTATAACAATTTAATACAAGTCACTTTTTAAACCAAAATCAAGATAGAATGGAACAAGTTGGCACTACCAACTTGACGCGTCCAACTGGACACCATCAGCTTGGCGCAAGAAGTAGTGGAGTCCAGGGGCCTGTTCCACCAATACACTTTGCAACTTTTCACCAAAAAGTGAAAATGAAAAATGAAAAATGCAAACTTAAGAATAAAATTTTCACCACTTTTCATTATGTTTTCTATGTTTTCATTTCAAAATTATATTTTTTGATGAAAAGCTTTAAGACTTTTCATTAAACATTGATAAAAAATGCAGACAAATTTTACTCTATAAAAATGTACAAAGTTATAATTTTTTTTTTTTAATAATTAAATTTATCAAGATTCACTTGAGTCTTTAGTAGTACTTAATCTCAACTAAAATTAAGTAGCATTTTCAATTATTTTACGATTAGAATGGCTCATAAATGATGATATTTATGATGAAAGGCGATCTTAGCCAGTATATAGAGATCGAGTGTACTTCGAATTATGTGACCGTCAGTACCGTCAATGTTTCAGACTAACAAAAAATCAAATAGCGTTTATTTTAAGTAAGATTGGATCTATTCTAACTCATACGAGTAAACGGAATAAAGCAATCACCACAGAACATCAACTATTGACGACATTGACTAGCTCGGAAATGGTGCACAACAACATGGTATAGGAGCTACACGTGGAATATCAACTTCATCTGTCAGTAGATGTGTTCAAAGGGTTATTAATGCAGTTTTTACCCACATGTTTTCAAATATTGTTAAGTGGCCTAATAATCCCATTAAAATACCTACGATGTTCCTTGACAAAGGTGGTTTTCCATGTATAGCTGGCTGTATTGTTGGCACGTTAGTAAATATTGATGCACCAAGTATAAACGAAGAACAATTTATAGATAGACATGGCAAACATTCAATCAATGTGACAATGGTTTGTGGTCCAAACCATGTATTTTATGCATTATATGCAAAGTGGCCTGGAAGCGTACACGATGCCAGAGTATTAAGAAACACTAGTATATTTGTTACTTTTGAGAGTGGTTGGCAACCATTTCCTGGGGCAGTCCTATTAGGAGATAATGCATATGCATTGAAAGAATGGCTTATTCCGCCACGTCATCAAAACTCGAATGATGAAATCGAACAACGGTTCAACCGCAAACACAAATTTACACGTCGATTAATAGAGTGTAGTTGTGGAATTCTTAAAGAAAGATTTCCATGTTTGAACTATTGTTTGTAGAGTTGAAACTGTCGAACTGTATTTCTTTTCTCGGATTGCTTTTAATAATGCCAATTTATTTTGATTTTTTAGTTATTTCGTCATTTTAGCAAAACATAAAATTTAAAATTGAGTAGGTATAAAAACGCTTGACGATTGACGAGCAAGTTTAAAAATTAAAATCGAAGTATCGAACGATGATGAAAATATAATAAAAATATAAAATGTAACATAATGATAAAAAGCGATAACAGCTATTAGATAATATGATAAGAAATTGAAAAGTGGTTACGTAATTTTCAAAACGTTAACACATTTGAAAAGTTTACAATTCTCGTATATGGAATGAAAAGACTTTGCATTTTGCATTTTTCAGAAATTGAGAAGTGCAAAGTGAAAAGTTGCAAAGTGTATTGGTGGAACAGACCCCAGGACATTTGAATTAATCAATGATCTACATTATCATTATTATTATTATTATTATTATTATTATTATTATTATTCTAATTTTATATTTACAACAATTTAATTTATTTTAATATACAAATGCGTTTGATAACTATATGCAATCTCTTTTAGGTATTCAACAGTATCTCTGTGGTGATACTCTCGAGTAACCATTAAAATAGGTCAATCATCATCCCTGTACTTTTTTAATTTTAATGTTGAATTATGTCCTGCAACAAGGCGTTCATAGTAGATTTTACGATTGGTTTGCACTTTTTGTTAGCCGTCTATAACCTTCTAGATTGTATACTCGTAATAATTTAATAAATATTTTCTTTTCGTTAAAAAATAAATATTGATTATACAACACAATTTTCTTGCCCACTTGTCTAACGTTCACTCGGCTCGCACCTACTTGTCCTCATGACTAGTTAGCCACATCGAGTTGGCTTTGCCCAATTGGTCGAGTCTACCTATTCCAGACTAAAATCAGGATACGGATAACACTTTAGATTACTTTAAATTTTTATTTTTTCGATTTACTCAATAATGCTCCAAATTATAAGGAAAAACTAAATCAAAACCTTGAAATAATTTTATTTTTTATTCCACAACCATTTATATTTATTTTGATTAAAACTAATAGGTTTTTTTTTACTACTGGGTTCACATTAAGAGTAATAACGTACTGGGTAGCTAATCTATTGAATAGCTAGTTTTTACAAACAGTCGTCCGACGCGCAACGGTCGTCGAGTCATCAGTCGTCCGTCGTAGTAATCCATCTGACACGTACAATCGATCGAAACAGACGTAGAAGAGGCTGTCACTGTTTACCTTTTGTCTCGTAAGAAACGCAGAGTAAAAAAAAAACTATTGGATTCATCTCCTATTTTTGGAACGGCACTCAAAGGGCTTGTTTCGAAATTATTTTAAGAATCTTCGAAGTTATCCGGTACGTTTTTTATATTATACAACAATTTCAGTGCAATCATTCTTCGAGAAATTTCGTGGTGACCATACAGAGAGAGACGTGAAAAATGCAAAATACACCTGACTGCGTCGACTAGTGCGCGGATACTAGGCCATGCATACTTTCGTTGTCTTGCTTTGGCCAAGCCCAACCAGTTGGCTGCCGTGCCATCGTGCACGTTTTACTGGCTACCGCAGCCTGGATTCATTGGCTGCTTAGTGCGCGGCCTCCAACAAGCAATCATGTGTGGGATAGAATGCCTAGTACATTACAGCGCTAATACATGACTTGGATTATTCATGCCTTAGTTAACCCTAAATATAAAATTATTCTAAAACTTTGTATTTTGTAACTCTTTGAAACTAGTGTCTTAAATAATTCTACCATTTCATTTGTGTTGGCATTGGTAAAACTTCGATTAAATGTAATAGCTTCTCTATGAAAGGAAAAACTTAAATAAGAGTAAGTATTCTAATTAATTTTTCTGTGTAGGCTAGAAACCATCACATTATAACGTGTAACGAATAAATAAAATAGAAATGGTCTTTGTGAAGAAGTTCAATATTTATGATGCGAATCAACTGAAAAATCTTACATATTATTGCAACCAGTTATTAGCTGATCAAAATTTTGTTTGATTAATAATATCTTTTAAATTATTTTTATTTCACATATAAATTTTAATTAACTCTATTAGTCACAAAAGCATTATATAAATAATATTTTCTGAAAACTTTAACATCGTATTCTTGTTTGAATAATACTATAATTCAATTTTCCTAGGACAAAGATATTTTGTCAAGTTTAAATCATAATGAAATTATTTATTAAGTAGCAACTAAAAATTAATTTCTTCGTCACTGTTAACCTTTATTAGATTTTATTCTTACGTTAGATTTAAATTAGGTCAGGTTGGCAAAGTTATATTTTATACACTTATGGAATTTTTATAAAAATTAAATAGTATTACATTAAACCACAAACAAAAGTTTAATTTAAGTAAATAGTGTTATTAAAATACAGAAAATATTAAGATAATTCAATTAATAGACAAATATGATACGGATAATTTTTCGTTAAGTATTATTTTCTTCTTCGACTCGGATATTAAAAGTCGAAAAAACAATTTTTTCATCAATTTTATTCTTATATATGTATATATTTAATTTCAAACAACTTTTTTTTGTACAGAATCAATATTTCAATAACAAGTTTATGAGATAAAACATTTTTAACTCATTTTTGTAATATGTATTTTACATCTTATAATAGTTATTTCAATCAAACTGGACAAAATATTTTGCAACATTGCATATTTACGAGAAACAAATAAAATATTTCTGTATAAAAATTAGTTCTTGTCATTTTTAGTTTAATAATTTTTATGTAAATATTTTTTATTTATTTTCTTATCTGATCATAACCGTTGATTATATAGTATATTTAATTTGAACGGTTAGCATGATCAAAAAATATATTATATAATCAATTTAAACCTCATATGGACATTTGGATTGAATTTATTTTGAACGCATCAATCACACATTCACAGACGATATTAAATTTTTAGATAAAATAACAAGAATAAAAATGCTAGTTTCATTAGTGAATCATATCCAAATTATTCAATTAAAATAGTTTTCTGTGTATATTTTGTTTTTACCATAACTACAGAATTTAAAATAAATTTAAAATGTTAATACAAGATCGACTTCGAAGTGCCACACATATAGATAATTTTTATTATGAAATATTACCAACATTATAAAAAACAACATATATAGGTAGATTTGAGATAAAACTAAGGTAGGGAAATGGGATATCTACCTCAAACATAGTTAATACCCTACCAAAAACGCCAAGAAATGTAAATTCGTCCATCAATCTATGTGTAACCAAATATTTATCCATGACTATACATTTCTAATATATCGCAGACAGGCACAATTTTTGTTAACATTTTACTATAAGATAACATAAATGCTTATTAGAATATCTTCGGTGAACACTTTCAATTATATTACCTAAATCCTAAACCTGTTACCAAAAATGAATAAGGCCGGATTGGAGAACGTGTCAGATTATCATAAGGGCAGATTACTGATCTTCATTGCTTATGTATCAATGATGTAGTACTAGACCAGAATATCGAAATACATTCCGAATCTTTATCTTAAAAATTAATATCTAAGCTATAGATACACGAGATAATGAACTCAGTTGTGGATCGATTTCTTAATATTCCATCTTAAATAAACATCCCTATACATGAATTCGTTTCACCGAAAATTGTACACGGAAAACTATTAATATCAATATAATACAAAGGTAGAAAATCATAAAAATTCATAATTTTACTGTTTTAAACAAACAGACGGTGTTACTATGTAATATGTAATGTAAAAAAATAAGACTACTAATTTATTGATTTTCGAAAATAAATCCTGGCCTTCATACTCTTCCGACATTGATATAATTTTATAAAAAATTTTGAAACAATAACGTCCAATTGATAGTTATATATATATATATATATAAGAAATACAGAAATAACAAACAAAAAGAAAATATTGTAAAACGAAAATATCGGAGTATTAAAAATCATCGAGGTTCCAAAATCACATTAAGATAAAACTAAAATATTTCGATAAGGTATCGCGAAATAATGAAAACTATAACACGGATTATTCTTTCCTTTCACTATTCAAACGATATTATTGAAAAGTATTATTACTAAATGAAACATTTTTACAGCCAAGCTCTCATCAACTATTGGGTGGAAAAAACATTTAAATACAAAATTGAATTTATTTACGAAACGTTCAAATTTATTTGTTTACCAAAGCTTATCAATTTGTTCTATGCAAACATTTTATACCCATTTATACGAATGGAATTAATATGGTCTCATATAATTATTTTACATTTTATTACTAACAACGGATTAATGCAATGTGTAGAATGAAATATTACGTAGGGTAAAATATTACACAACAGTATTTTACGGCTGCCGTATCCCGTAAGAAAAAAATGCGTATCATTTTTTTTTTTTTTAATTTTATACGTTATGTTTTTTATTTAATTTCAAAATGATCGTAAAATAATGAATGTATTAATAATAAAGATGGTGCTCTCATTTAATTCTTTAATGCCGTAAATATTTATGTATTTTCTATCGTTTACTCGTTTACATATTCTGTCCACGCAAACAAGCCTATATAACGTGAATACCCGCTTTGGGTAATGTTGAGTTCAATTAAAAAAAAAAAAAAAAAAAAACTTAGACATAAAAAATTATTAATTAAAGTAAAAAGGTATAAACATTATTGTTTGCAACACTGAAATTTAGAACATCTGAGTTTATTACTTAAAGAAAAACGCACCATTGCTCAATGTACTTTAACAATTTTTGTTTGATCATTGATGTGTTTGACATATGTAATAAATATATAATAAATAATAATAACAATATAATAATTGATATATAATAATATAACTCTCCGAATAGCGAGAATACATTACTAATTGTAAGTGTGTGCCCAAAAACCAAAGACGAATTAAAATATTTCTGTTGTGGCTATCATTCAAATAATTCCACTGGTAAAAAAATTAAGAATAGTTGTAAAAATAAACAACATGTTTTGTAACACTCCCGTTTTACGCTAATTAAATGCTGGTTTTTATTAAATACTCGTATAATATACAAATAAACCATCCTACCGTTAAATATTTCCTCAGGAAATACTATAATTCTGAAACGGCTCTAATTAGAAAGAAAGGGATTTTAAGCCTCCTTCTTCTCCATTCACCACTGCTACAGCTTACAGAAGCTGTCGTTCGTTTAAACCGTTGTTATAATTTGAAAACATATCAAAATTGCTTGTAAGGTGTAATGTAACGATGAGGTACGCAGGTTTTAAAAACCATATTCACATAAAATATATGGTTGGACTTAAGATTAAGCGCTGAGATATTTATCCCTTTCCCCCATGAATACGCTTGTCCGCATATGTAAATATAACACAAGTCACGGTACCGTTTTTTATTCCGTACAATGTACCACTACGCCACGTATAATACGTGCGCATAGAAACCGCCAGGAATTCTGTTAGGAGGGTGCATCATGCATAGTATATACGCTTATGTCTAAATAATACTTAAATCATTTAAGGGAAATACGTAGGAATATTTTTTCAAATTGAATAACATTACAAAATAATTTTCGTTTTTTTCGATGGTCACTAGAAAAGTAATGATATCCTCTACTTATCCTACAAATGTTATTTTTTTAAAATCCAAAAGGGTGCAAGTGCATCCCACTGTAACCTTCTCGTGGCGCCCATGTACGTGCGTATGTTATTTTCGAGCCTTCTCCGACGCTTTTAGTATACGCCACGGAAGGGGGGTGGGGGAGGTAAGTAGGGGGTTAGAGGTCAAAACTGGGCGCGTTGTTTTAATTTTTCAATTTTTCGGATCTGGTGGTCATGTTCCTGCTGTCACGCCACCGTGCACCGGAAACAATTAATCAAATAAAATATTTTAAATGTATTGCTTACCTCTAAGTGTTCACCACCACGAAAAACACCGTCAACTCCGCCGCCGCCACAAGTGGAACTCCTCGTTTTCCGTGCCGTCCGCCACACGGTTTGACGACGCGCGAGCACGCACCATGCACGAAACTCATGGGTGGTCGACTAACGGTTTCGAAAACCTAAGCAAATGCCGTTTTCGTTAGAACTTGTTTCGCTCGCTCGTTCACTCGCGCCGTGTCGTCGTCACAACTCAAGCTAAGTCGGCAACGAATATACATATAATTATATAAATACCTACGCAGTGATCGCCAGTGAATCGATTGGTTTTTGTTTGAAAAATAGCGAGACGGAAAAATTATATTTTGTTGACTTTCGTTTTTTTTTTTTTTTTATCGCGTATTGTTTACGCTTTTCCAAAGCATCGGTGGACACTGTTGTACGCGAACGGGACGTTTGCGATTCGCGCGCGACGAGAGCACGACGACGATTGCACCGCGGCGCGCGTGTTTCGCGGCTAAAGCGGACGGGAAAACTGACTGTGATATACCGAGAGACTGGTAGCGGGAAAATCGGCGGTTTCCCCGCAGGTCACGTGACAAGCGTTTCTTTCTTTCACCTCCCCCCCCCATGCCCGTCCCCGACTTTTACGACACGATTGCATGACCACCACCACCATCTCCACCACCGTGGTCACGTCGTGTGATGTTGTTTTTGTTTCACTTTTTACATTTTTTTTGTTTTCCCGTTTCACGTTTTTCGAAAAAAAAAAAAAAAATCACACCGCTGACCGAGCAATACAGGCCACTGAGTTAAATACACATCGGGTTTGCTGGGTGGATCAAACAATATAAACGATGAAGTGCCACATTTAAAAGGATGCAAATAATAATCATTAAAACGACCGATAAATACAGTTTTATAATACTCACTCTTTTCCGAGACTTTATTGTATTATAAAAATATACGATCTTCGATACATATTACTTTTCTAAACTTTCCAGACTTTTTACGCCGAGTCCACGGTATAGATCCCTTGTGTACGCGGTACGCCACAGAGCAACAACAGACAATTAGTCTTGACACCCAGTGGACAATCATGGATTGTTTTAAGTTTTACATGGCATTGCAGTAACTTCATCCCCGAGGAAGTCGGGGTGATGAGACGATCGAAATCCTCCCTCCCTCCGTGCGTAGTGTGATGTATATATATAATTTTTTTACAGAACATCGATAAAAAAACAATCTTAATAAATATTTCAATATTACAAGTTTTACTTTTTTGTTACTTACAGTAATATTTATAATGATACAAACTATGATTGTGGATAAAATGTTATTTTTAACCGTTATTCAAACAAAATTATTCGTTGTAAAACACAAATATTGTGTACATTTTGTAGTTCTGTTTATATATTTCTTATATTGTGTAGTGTTGCACCAATATGTTTTGTTATGATATATCACATATATTACGATGAATAATAATAATAAAAGAAGCGGATCGGGCAGTCTTGCCTCGTAGAATAATGAACACCAAAAAATAAGTGCCATCAATACTACAAAAAATACTGAAGTAGTTTCCAGTGAAGTACAGTGTATTTTAGCCGATAAATATAGTAAATTGGTATGTACTATATTTATCGGCTAAAATACACATACATTTCAAGAGTATAAATATTAAGTATTGAGTTTTATGATTACTTAGATAGAACAAAATGTAATGATTATAATAAAATTAAACTTTTAGAGTTATCTATTATTTTTTGAAATTATTTTATTTATTATAGTGTACACATTAAAAAAGGCAAGGAGAAGAAGATTTTTTAATAAAACATTTTTTGGATATTTAATTAGCTTGTTTATTCAAAAAAAAAAGGGAAGATAGCATCTTTTGTAATACTATTTATTATTTGCCAATAAAAGTATTAAAGACAAATATATAACACTAAAAAGTTTTGTTACTGTTCCACTTGATAGAATACTAAGAGAAAAAAATTATCTCACTGAACATAACATGTGTACCATATAAATGCGGTTTCAACGAGCAATGATTTTTTTTAATTTATTTAAAAAATCCAAAAAAATAAACGATTAAAATAGTAAATACAAGAAAAATAAAACAAGCAGAAGAAAATCGTTAAAAGCAGTAAAACTAATCATTGGAACAGCTGTACTTTGTGAATGTCAAAATATATATATCACTTAAAGGAAACCCTTATAAAGGTGATTTAAGCTTAAAAAACAAAAAAGATTATTACATTGAAAAAAAAATTTATAATAAATTTGTAAATTGAACTAGTATTCATTTGTAGCTTAACCTTCAATCTATTCTTCTAATGTAAATTGAAAAACTTTTTTATTTTTTTTGTCTAGAATTTTTTTAGTAACAAAAGTATATGATCTCGTAATCTAAGAATAATATTCAAGTGTCGTAAAAAATATAATATTTTTACCGTATAAGTAACAAAAGGGTATTTTATTATGTATGAAATGACATCTTTACATTAAAAAAATCCAGATGCGTGCCAGCTAGGATTGCCTAAATATTTTAAAAATTTCATAATTTATATTGCAATATCAAGTCTCAATTTTTAAATGCAACCTTTAAATTTAATTTCTTGGGAAAATTATTTTTAAGGAAATACGTCTAGGTATAAGTAAATCTTATCCTTACTCAATTAAACAATATATTAATTATAAGTTTTGAAAATTATACTGAATATATTAGAGTTATGTTCCTTGCCAATCTAAACTATAAATAAATATAATTAGCATAGTATATAATACTAGTGTTAAATAAATCGACATATTCTTTAAAACAATAATCTTTTTAAGAATCCAAAACTGAAACTATTAATTGTTAATTTATAACTGAAATTTGGTACTATTTTTTTAATGATAAAGAATAGGAATATTTTAATTATAAAAATACAGAGTATAGTTTGTAGTTAAAAGTTTGAAAAAGTATAAAAAGATTTTTATCTTAAATACTAATATTTCATGAGAAAAAAATAGAGAAAAATCACCCTATACATATAAATTACACTATGATATATGATGTAATATATCTGCTTCAAAGCCGTCCCGAAGATGAAAATCAAGGGGGGGAGGGGTGAATAATATGAAAAATGCCGACTACAATTTTTTTACTCAATGTATGTAGTATAATAAACTATATGTAGTCGTATTTTTACTTTTTAACATGTACATATGTGTCAGTGTCACACATTCTTAAAATTGACAATTTAATTATATACCTATATATAAAATAATATTTTATATTGTATAATAAGTAATTATATAAATTTTATTTATATATACACTGTATTACGAAATATGTAATATTTGTTTTCCGTAAATAAAATTAGGTCCTTCTAGGCTATAATGAAACAAGTCCGACTGCGACTGGTGCTTTTGTTGAAGGGAGGCGAGACACCCCCCAAGACCCCCCTTTGAGACGACCCTGATCTGCTTATCACTTGTCAGTACATGTGCGTAAAGAGCCTATTTAAAAGTTATTTATGTATATATATATATATATATATATATATATATATATATATGGTATTTTATACATTTCTCATCAAGCCAGTAATCTTGGCAGTATTTTAGAAGTGTCCACATGGCAGCTCTTTACGGTCATGTCGATTGTTGTGCACAACTTAAGTGATTGCATTGATAGACTAATAAGTGGGCGGTTTCAAGTAGAAATATTTGACTCAAGAAATTCTTAACTTGGCATCGTCCTTGCTGATAGCTGTATTCAAACCCGTCGTAAGATATTTTTCACCCTAATTGTATTGCCGCTCTTTATTAAGGACATTACAAATTGAATTTCACAATATGCTGCACAACATTCACAGTCACATCGAGCCAGTGAAGCTAATATGATAATAATTTAGATTTATAACAGCAATTATCGTCGTCTGCTGTCGATGTTTATCTAATTTTGCCAATTCGATTTCTTTAAAACGGTTTGCCTCCCTCCCTAAAGCAACGCATTCCTTGCTCGTATCCTAAAGACGGGCCTGACCGTTAGTGATGGGTCGTCCATGAACGAATCGTTCCTTCGGAATTGAAACGAATCGGAACGATTGCCCCTACTCGATTCTTTTAGATACAATATTCCTACCGATCAATTTTTCTACATTTGTATTTAGTACGATACGAGTATTATCACAGAATAAAACACTTTATTAATAACTAATAAAAGCAAGTTCAAACGCGCACTTAGCGGTATTGCACCTTTATTTTACAGTTGTCGGCCGCTTGAGTACAACGCCATTGTTAAGACAGTGAAGGCAGCGCTATCTGAAGGAGTTGACAGTAATTAGGTTCGATGCCGGTACACGAAAAGTAATGTAAACAAAAATTACCGAAAGGAACGAATCATTTGGAATCATTCCTTTTGTGGACCTGGAACGTTTCATTAAAAGGTACGAAATATCCCATCGTTACTGACCACAGGCACAGTGAAAACGGAATCGCATAGGACCAACAAAAAAATTCTGCTTCATTCAATAAAACGGAAAAATTCCGGATATTCAATTATCCTTTTATACTTATATCGATCAGTTGATATTTTTCATAGACACTTATATTTTGGCATTTTGATATTTAATTCGATGAACGGAAGATAAAATTAAAAGTGTACGTGCGACTGTTGGTGTATGACTGTTTCATAGTTCTCGTATAAAGAAGAAAGTTCGTATCGTTTATGCGATAATATGCATTGTACTCGTATGTACATATATTGTACGAATATTATGGAAAATTTTATCTCTATTATCTATCACCATCTAACGATGTATGTACTATATTTTATATACCTTATTTTTGGTTTGTAGTACACACGCGCATCATTTTTCCGGCTAATACAAGGTTTTTACTTGCATGGGACTTACAAAATCGTTCCGTTTCCGCGTTAAGAAAGTTCCGTTTCAGGTTCAATGTCTATATAAAACTATAGGAACGTGCTGGGACCATAGAAAAATTCCGTATTGGATAGTTTTCCGTTTTATTCAGTGTCTGCTTTAGACAGTTTTCACTGTACTTAAAAATATTTGCTCACACACACTTCTCTTGGTGACATCAAGTACAATTTTTAAATACAATATTTACAATGACTTTACCATTAAATGCATTATCTCTAATATTTTTACTCATTTTGATAACTGAATTAGGTTGTTAAATTAATAATCGAATAAATAACAAAAAATTAAAACGTAATATAAATAATAATCATGCTGTGATTGATGCAGGACCATGGGTGATCAATTATCAAGAACCAAAAACAACATCATCTACGCTATGTAATAAAAACGATTTGGACTTCCGGAACTAAACCTTAAAATAAAAATAAAATCCGTAATTCACAATTAATGCGCATGTAATATAAAATATATCAAAATATGTATAAAGTGAAATCGAAATTCAAGTAGGAAAAATGTATTTATTTCCGACTGTCTCTTGATTTTTATCAACTCTTGAGATCTATTTATATATTTTTAGTTAA